GACTAAATAAAACGCGAACTCTTTGGTGTTAGCAAATATACTGAGTGAAGCGGCATGGGTTGAGTTCAGTGTTTTGAGTGGGTAATTATCGATCTGAACAAAATATGGTGCTGTATATACTCAAGCAGTTTGTTTACACCGTAATACTTCACTCGAACATATGACAGGCATTGAAAGCATAAAAGCACGGCAACTTGGTAAGCTAACATGAGGTGAGCATCCCTAAAGAAAACAAAGCAAGCTTTGCAAGGCTTTCGCTCTACATCGCGCGTCACCATTATGACGTCATATCGCTCATTGTGACGCAAAAGATATGACGTCACAGTCGTATATAGAAAAGCGCCAAAATGTCAAGCTCTCTGTTGTCTCCAAAACGTAAATACATTCCCTTTGTTGATTTCAGTCGTGTTTTTCTGCACGAAATGTATTGCCACACATCCTTTGATTATTGTAGTAACCGCATCTGTGCATTTTGTAACCTGTAATTGTAGATATAGTTATTTAAATATGCCTACCGACAATGACTGAAAATAGTACTATTCTATGAATATTAGCTTCCGCGGTGATGCGGCCGTCAAACCAGCTGTTTCAATCAGAGGGGGTTTATTGTGATTTAATAGCCTCTGATTGACCAATCAGAATTTCAATCAGAGTAAATTCCAAATTCATGGTAGAATATTGTTTTACACCGCTGGGAACTTACTTTATCATAAGTCGTTGCAATAAAACATAATACGTCAACGCCATAGAATATCCAGTCTATTCGACGAAGTAGATTCCAATGGGCGTTAAAGGCGAGATAGTGGGGAATATAATATGAATGGACTGAAAATCAGCTCAAGGTAAAGCATGTCATGCCTCAAGAAACGCTCCCAAATGCCATTGTCTCGATATGTTAAAGGGACTATTTAGTTGTATAGGAAATAAATGCTAAATCATCTGTTGGTAGTTTTCAGTGGTATAGGGTTTCAGTAGATACTTATCGTGACTGAACTGTGACTATGTTGTATAGGCGTGTCCTTGACGTTTCAGACAATAAAACACTGGATATATAAATTTGTCTTATCCCCTAATCAATTTCATTGATCATATGGAACAATATAATCGATTATAATGTTCGTGCATCAGAATAACAAGCCCTTGGTAATTCAGATAGTCAACTTATCATTGATCGAAAAACTATTACTATTGTGGAAGCCCTAATACCGAAACTGGATACTTGTGGGAGAAGTTCTCTCTTAACACATTGATAAGTACATACATTGTTACTGGAAATACGAATTCTATATGCTGAGGAAATGACAACAATTATCAACGGTCATTCATTTGCGAATGAATAGCTTAAAAGCAGTGCTGTTTGTGAGGAATATTGAATGAATTGGTGACTGTGTAAGAGTGGTATTGTAACCAGTTTCTGACGACGGCATATGTGAACGAAAGTCAAACACCACCGGCTTAGGACATTACTAAATTCATATTTAATGAAAAATACATATCACTAGCTTAAAGCTCTTATAGATGTGGCTATGATGCAAGTCAAAGATATTTGGCTTTATGGCACTACTCAATTCGGAGATGAGGCAAGTCAAAGATATTTGGCTTTATGGCATTACTCAATTCGGAGATGATGCAAGTCAAAGATATTTGGCTTTATGGCATTACTCAATTCGGAGATGAGGCAAGTCAAACATATTTGGCTTGATGGCATTACTCAATTCGGAGATGATGCAAGTTAAACATATTTGGCTTATGGCATTACTCAATTCGGAGATGAGGCAAGTCAAACATATTTGGCTTGATGGCATTACTCAATTCGGAGATGATGCAAGTCAAACATATTTGGCTTGATGGCATTACTCAATTCGGAGATGAGGCAAGTCAAACATATTTGGCTTTATGGCATTACTCAATTCGGAGATGATACAAGTCAAAGATATTTGGCTTTATGGCATTACTCAATTCGGAGATGAGGCAAGTCAAACATATTTGGCTTTATGGCATTACTCAATTCGGAGATGATGCAAGTCAAACATATTTGGCTTAATGGCATTACTCAATTCGGAGATGATGCAAGTAAATTTGAAACATATTTGGCTTGATGGCATTACACAATTTGGAGATGAGACAAGTCAGACATATTTGGCTTGATGGCGCTACTCAATTTGGAGATGAGACAAGTCAGACGTATTTGGCTTTATGGCATTAATCAGTTCGGTAATGAGGCAAGTCTGGGATATTTGGCCTTTTTGGCATTACACAATTCGGAGATGAGGCAAGTCAGACATATTTGGCTTAATGGCATTACTCAATTCTGAGATGAGACAAAACAGACATATTTGGCTTTATGGCATTAAACAGTTCGGTAATAAGGAAAGTCTGAGATATTTGGCTCTATTGCATTACTCAATTTGGAGATGAGACAAGCCTGACATATTTGGCTTGATGGCACTACTCAATTCGGAGATGAGACAAGCCAGACATATTTGGCTTTATGGCATTACTCAATTCGGAGATGAGACAAGCCAGACATATTTGGCTTTATGGCATTACTCAATTCGGAGATGAGACAAGCCAGACATATTTGGCTTTATGGCATTACTCAATTCGGAGATGAGACAAGCCCGACATATTTGGCTTGATGGCACTACTCAATTCGGAGATGAGACAAGCCAGACATATTTGGCTTTATGGCATTACACAATTCGGAGATGAGGCAAGTCAGACATATTTGGCTTTATGGCTTTACACAATTCGTAGATGAGGCAAGTCAGACATATTTGGCTTGATTGCATAACTCAATTCGGAGACTAGACAAGTCGGACATATTTGGGTTTATGGCATTACACAATTCCGAGATGAGACAAGACAAACATATTTTGGATTATGGCATTACTCAATTCGGAGATGAGGCCAGCCATACATAACTGGCTTTATGGCATTACTCAATTCGAATATGAGGGAAGTCAAACATATGTGGTTTAATGGCATTACTCAATTCGTAGATGAGACAAGTCTGACATATTTGTCTTCTTGTCATTACTGAATTCGGAGATGAAACAAGTCAGACATGTTGGGGGGTATGGTTTGGAGACTAAAATATTTCTTAGCCATCACCTGAAAAACCACGCTAGATAATAAAAGCATCATTTGGGTGTAAATTGCCTATTATTATGAATGCGAGAAACATATTATCTGCAAAACGTCTGCACGATTTCGATCATTTTATTAGCATGTGTTTATCACTATCAAATGAATCACTATCAAATACTGATGATACCAAGAGTTCCCGAAAAAGTGAGCGTATCCTGTCTCGCCGGTGGCACCCGTCCCAAACACATACAAAGGCAAGTTAATTGTTCACATGAAAAAAACACGGGATAACATGGTACAAGTCAAAATAGGGAATTCTATCGGAATCTTTCTTGTCACATGTTCACATCCCAGCAGTATCACGGCGGGGGACACCATACATGGGCCCTATACATTGTATCCTTGTGGTGAATCGAACCCGGGTCTTCGGCGTTATGAGCGAACGCTTTAACCACTAGCCTACCCCACAGCCCGATTTTATGTCAAGTTAAATATGTATGGTGTATTTTAATACGGTAAAACGACACACATGGGTGTTTTATTAGCTATTTGTCTCTATATCTATATCTCACAGTTGAAGTGTCCAGTTTCTTTTCATGAATACATGAACTTTCACAGTGCAATGTAAACAACTGATGGTATTTAAATTATTTTAAAATTTTCGCTGTAGTTGCCATATTACAATACATTTGAAGCGTCAACGCCAGAGAATAATCAGACATGATTAGTAACAGATTCCATTGGGCGTCAAAGGCAAAATAGTGAAACTTATATGAATGGATCACTAAAAATCAGACCTGCTCTACCTGTAGCATCCGACACTTATACCATTTGCGAAAAAAATATGTTTTTTTTCACTCCACGCAGCAGAATAGCATAGAACAGCCATAGGAAATTGTGAACTTTTGGTAATACATTGTAATACATTGTAATGCCAAATATTTAATTTAATATGTTTTGTCCTGCATACATACCTTTTTGGCAAGGCAAAAAATACTGATGGTGTTCAATGTGAGTAAAGTGATTTGGGTTTTTCCCCATTGCATACGATATTAAGATTGCAATACTGATACCCAGAAACTAAAACAAGCTTTAATCTCTTTAAAAATATATATTGTGAAAGTATTTTTGTAGCGAGAGCCTAATGCCTAATTCTAGACTAACATCTAGTCTCTAAAATGAACATTTTTGTACAAAAAAGTTGTTAAATTATAGTTATATAAAATATAACAAAAAGGAGCCACGAGACTTTCTTCATTTTCAGAGACTAAACAAATCTGCAGATCTATAATTGCTTGGAATTTCACAACACATCAGATCCCTATCACCCATCACTGACATGCCACTGAAAGTGGGTGTGGCAGGAATATTTACTCACCCTACAACCTCTCCTCAAACGGGTCCCACTGCCACTGGTGGGCAGTTTAGAGGGCTGTTCGTGTCAAATGTCCAGAAATCTATTTTGAGAGCAAGCCCCAAGGGTCAGCATTTAGTGTGATTCTAGTCTGTCATACACACCCCGAAACAAATATATCCAATACAGCCCATGCAAGCCCTGACCCCGCAGTAATCTAGACTTGTTAAACATTATAGACTTATAGGGCTGTTTTGGATATATTTGTTTCAGGGTCTTTATGACAGACTAGAACAATTTCAACTGACCTCAATGGTAACGTCTTTATTATCTTTTATAAAAAAATATATTCAAACTATTTTGTTAACGAAAACCGAGTGAACAATTCAAGTTGGCCTCTATTGTAAAGTCACGTGAGTGTCCGAGGCTGTCCGATTGGATAAGGCTTACGCTGGGGCGGGGCGTAGGCTGGGGGCGGGGCGTAGTGGATATGTGTATAAATCACACTTTGCTTACTTGATGTTAAGTAAGTTACTGTAGAGTATAGAAGGAGAAGTGTAACGCGGGAGTTAGAACCTACGTCTTGTTATCTTGTTGTTAAAGTGTTAAATGGATATGGGGGCAGTTGCACTGGTGACTGCAATTCTGGCAATGAGTGTTTGCACTACTGCTTTTAAACCTGTTAATTTTAAGCCGTTAACATTTGCACAACACCTGAACAAGTTTTTTGGTGTGACCATTCGGAAGCCAAACCAGAATAGCGGAGAACCGACAGGAAAGTACACAGAAGCCTCTGGAACTGTTGATGGGGTTGACGTTGTCCTGTCTGGTCCAGAGACAGGGTCCAAACAGTCAACGACACTGCCATCAGCGGATCAAGTCAACATCGACATCCAAGAAACCCTGACACCGCCTACTCCACCACACCAGCTTCCGGCTTTCAACAAAACTTTGTTTAAGTCGACTTCTTCAGATGCGGGAGGCAACTCTCCCAAACTGTTACTTCCTGGCACTCTAGTGCCGCAGCCAGGATCCAAAACGTCGACGCCAACACCATCGTTGAATCAAGTCAACATCGACATCCAAGAAACCCTGACACCGCCTACTCCACGACACCAGCTTCCAGCTTCTAACAAGACCGTTTTGACATCGTCAACTTCAGATGCAGAAAACATTGTTTCAAATGTTTTACTCCATGAAACAACAGTACCAACGACCGCTAGACAAACAAAAAACATTACAATGTCAAAGAAGAGTGATATTCGAAAAAAAAATCAATTGCTATTTGTGACATTGGTCAAACAGATCGCTGGCCTTGAAACGAAAAGCAGAGGGTTTGGCATAATACCCCGCGAGGCACAGATAGAGAGTGACGGTGAGGGTATACCAGTCTCATTTTCCAAACTGGCTGGACGAGTGTTGGCACTGTCGGAGGCATTGTTAGCTTATGTGAAGAACGAATCTTACTCAGAGGGGGCTGAAGCACGTGAGTATTTTTAGATCCTGCTTATATTTTTCTTAAGATGTCAAAATCAAGCTGTACAATTAAACTGCTACCAACGTGTATATCTATGTCAGAATATGGGTGAGAATACTCAGAATAGTATTCCATTTTGGTCATTCGAAATTCCATTTTGGTCATTCGAAACTATCTCAATGTTCCAGTTGGATCGAAGACTGCAATTACTACTTTGTTTGTTTGTTGTTTAACTCAGTAATATTCCAGCTTTATGACAGCGATCTTTAACTAACCGAGTCTGGACCAGATAATCAAGTGATTGACGTCATGAGCATCGATCCACACATTGATCAAATTTATTTATACACAAAATTACCCAGATTACTCTTTACAAATGATGATTTAATATACACGATAACATTTAATAACAGTTCTTTCAATGCAGTTACACACACAAAACCCTCGGTATACTTGCCCCCTTTATAATTCTTTTACATGCATTTCAGGATTCTCAGACCGACAGTATGCTGGAACTCTGGAAACACGTCGTATAACTAAACCGTCTGGCATGGCATTCAGCAACATTCACAAGGACGTCATGTACGTCATTAACGACGGCAGCTCAGAAGCAGGTCCCGTGATCTTGGCCCTCAACAAAACCGGCGAATTACTTAATTACTTTAAACTTAAAGGTGCCTCGAACAATGACTGGGCTGCCCTACAGATAGGTTAGTTCCATGAAATTTAAAGATACGATGCTAAGTGAAATTTAAAGATACTTAGTTGAAATTTCAAATTAGTATCTTGAAATTTCAAATTAGTATCTTGAAATTTCAACTTAGTATCTTAAAATGTCAACTTATGTATCTTGAAATTTCAACTTAGCATCTTGAAATGCTGTCGTACAATATTCTAGCAGCTCCAGCCTTTGGTACGGAAGCCTTTTAGGGCCTTTGTTTTTTTCTTGAAATTTCAAGATGTTATGCCCCTAGAAGGCTTCCGTACTTTGGTGTCAATTAACTTTTTTTAACTTTGCCAATCCGAACAGAAATTCCGATTCAGATGAATATAGAAAAAGATTCTCGTGAGATGAGCCCATTTGTAACATGCTTACGAAAAATTCGGAATCGTATAATGAACTCTGCTTTTAGCAGAAATGTCTTTTGATTGTAGATAGGGTTTTATCGCTTTAATTTGATACATCCGTGACTGTTGTTTTCTTCTCACAACTGGATTTTGGTTTGGATTTGGTTTGTTGTTTAACGCCGCACTCAGCAATAATCCATCTATATCACGGCGGTCTGTAAATAATGGAGTCTGGACCAGACAATCCAGTGATTGATATCATGATCGATGACCGCTGTCATATAGCTGGAATATTGCAGAGTGCGGCGTTAAAAAAACAAAAAAATCCTCCTCAGGAAGTTTCGAACACTGTTTCAGCCCCATGTTCCTCGACAACTTCTCGGAGCTGTATATATATCGGTGACATTGACGACCCAGATGGACCCAAAGGTACATCGAACATCATCTACATATGCCAGGAACCCGAAGACCTCATGGGCGGCCATCAGCTTCACATTGAAGACAGGATCAGGATCAAGTGAGTTGTGCTCTTTTTGTAAAATGTCTTGTTTAAGATGAAAATGTTTTACATATGTTCAAAAACACTTAATGTACGATGATGCATAACATGCAGAATAACGTGTAAATGTTTGATGAAATAAACCGTGTGTAATGTTAAGATATGCTTGCTGTAGTGCTCGCTGACTTGGTTGATGCATGTCATCGATCCCAATTGCGTGGATCGATGCTCATGATATCAATCACTGGATTGTCAAGTCCAGACTCGATTATTTACAGACCATATAGCTGGAATATTGCTGAGTGCGGCGTTAAACAACAAACCAAAGAACCAAACCTTCTTGACAATCTTTCAGAATGAAGTGTAAGACGTACTTTTCTGCCACTGCGAGCAGACTGATCGTGATGTAGCCGAATTACTGTTCAAAGCGGCGTTAAACCAACCTGACTCACTCGCTTCTCAAAACCTATATATTTATATCTTCAAAGGAACATAGATGAATCTAGTATGGTGATGATCGTCTCGCCAAGAGCAGATATATACCTCATACCACAGCGGAAACATGAATCAACTGTTTACAAGATCAGAAAGGGAAAAATCACAGCAGTCTGCCAGTTCAAGTTTGAGTCCAAATGGAGTGGGCCGGTTGACGGGGACATTTCAGCCGATGGCGACATGATGCTGATAAAGACATACGACTTCGTGTACTACTTCTACATCCCCGAAAGAGACTACCCTGAAGCCCTCTGTTACCACACTACACGCGCGCAGCTGAAGTACACCTGGGAACTTTACGGGGAAGTGGTAACCTTTAGCCCTGATGCTATGTCATATTACACGTGTAACCAACAGTTGTACTCCCCGTTGTGGAGGTACGACAGACTCAAGATAAAGGAGGTGGACTATTGAAGAAAACACATTATTATTATTATTATTATTATTATTATTATTATTATTATTTTGCTGAGTGCTGAGTGCGACCTATTATTATTATTATTATTATTATTATCATTATTATTATTTTCAGATTAGGGTTGGGGTGATCCTTGAACAGTGAGGTTTGTGTGGCTCTGTGTTGGGGATCTGTGCTTAGGAGGTCCCTGATGATAACCTTCCTCTTTGCTGAGCAAAAATCTCAAAGGATTTTGTGACAAACAGAAAAGCAAAGGACTAAAAGAATCGCCCTGAAATATTCTTCTTCTAATGGAATGGGTTCCGAAGTCACCACCTGCCCCTGCGAATACATCTCAAGTTGAGTTGACCAGCAATTCATTAAAGACTTGAGTAAGACAAGCTGTCGCTCGGGGAGGTCACTACATTCCAGTGACCTCAAAATCCTTTCGTGAGGGTCAGAATCATAATTTTTCTGTAGTCTATCCAACACATTGAGAGGTTACGGTGGTAAGTTTTAGCCGCTTCAAGGATCATTTTTTGAACTAGTAGTTGATCCTTACAACCCCAACATCCCTTTCTGGCTCCTTTCTGCTCCATGTAAATAATGTCATTGGATGCGCAGTGTGATGACACAATATCTGTAAATCACCTTTCTTTGGGTTGGTTGGTTTGTTGTTTAACGCCGCACTCAGCAATATTCCAGCTATATGACGGCGGTCTGTAAATAATCGAGTCTGGATTTGACAATCCAGTGATGAATAACATGGGCATCGATCCACGCAATTGGGATCGATGACATGCATCAACCAAGTCAGGGATCCTGACCACCCGATCGCCTTTTACGACAATCATAGTCGCCGGTTACGGCAAGCTTGACCTTTCTTTGGGAGAAGTATTGTTCGACCTTTGCACAACCAAGGCGGAACATCCCCTGTATCCACAAGAGAATTAAAACAGTGAAGTAATGGTGTCTGGACAGTTTCCAAAGCCGGTTTCGAATACCATCAGGCCCTGGCACCGTATTAGATTTGGACTATTTAATTACATTTTTCAGGCAACCAGGTGTAATGAAACAATTATTATTATTATTATTAGAGATTATGCCGACGATAACAAAATTAACTTTGCAATTGAGATTATTAAAAACATCTTTTTGATACAGCATACAATTCATCGTGTGAAAATGTCTAAATTCGAGGTATCAGGGACATTTTGTCAGGTGGACACTTAACATGCTTTTGCATGTTTTTGTGACGGGTGCCACAAGCGGGGCAGGATTCGCTCTCAGAGTGATTTAGACGACGAGTTGTCGTACTTAGGTCGCTGACTTTGTGTGATGATAATTAGGGTCCTTAACCTGAGAGTGCCCCGTGAAGATCTGGGGGTAGAACAGGTCTTCAGCAACCCATGCTTGCCGGGATCAGGTCGTCAGGCTCGCTGGCTTGGTTGATGCATGTCATCGTATCCCAATTGCGTGGATCGATGCTCATGATATCACTCACTGGATTGTCTGGGTCAGACTCGATTATTTACAGACCGCTGAAAATTGCTGAGTGTGGTGTTAAACAACAAATAAAGAAACAAATAAACTCTGAGAGCGTGGGTTCGAATCCCTATACAGCGACAAGACCCTTTCAATATTCAATAGAAATATCTGCATAAAGCAGAGTCGATTGTACGATTCCGACTATATCATGAGCATGTGTTTATGAATCAGTATCAAATAGTAATGATAACAGGTGTTTGCGAAAAGGTGAGCGTATCCTGCCCCATCAGAGGGAACCATCACAAACACATGCTAAGGCAAGTCAATTGTTCACCTGAAAAACACGGGAACATATGGTACATGTCAAAATAGGGAATTGAATCGAACATCATGTTGTCACTGACGCATCAAATTTGGAAATATCCTCCACATGTCTTCCATAAAACCTTGGTAAAGTTTTACTGAGGCCTTGAATGTTTTTACCTTTATCAAACAGCTTCTGAGCAAGAGTTGTGTGACGCTCTTTGGAATCTTGGTAGAAAGAGCACGCTCGATTGTATCTCTAAAGTTGTGAAATGCAAACACCAAAGGCTGAAGCTGCTGGAATATTGCTCGACATGAAGGGAAAGTTGACTAATGGAAAGTTGAAGTCACCCCTCTTGCCATACAGTCTTGTGGAGAATGTTTGTCACTCCGAATCACTGGTCTCCTTTATAAATAGTTCAGGTGGATAAATCAGTAGAAGTGAATTGGCTGTTTGAGTGTTATTGAACGATATCAGATCATCGATATACCTGAAGCTTAAGTTACCCCGTTTTGACTTTGCCAGTCCGAACAGAAATTCCGATTCATATGCATAAAGAATTAAATCTGCAAGAAGGTGAGCACAATTGGTGCCCACAGGGATGCCTACTTCTTGCTTAAATGTCTTACCCCTAAATTATGCGTAGATGTAAAGTGTACCCCAAATTTAACATGTGTTACATTTTACCACTTTGTAAAGGGTATTGCCTATTCACAATACTATGTTATTTTGAAAGTTTATTATCAGATTGACGCTTGGAGCTTCAAGAAATATATCATTTGAACAGTTGATTTATAATGAGCTTGTGCTTTTGTTCCGTTTTACAGATTTATCAAATGATGAATTATCACTTTAATATTAATGTTCCAGATGACGAGTCCTTAAGGAAGAATACGCCTTACAAATAATGAAGAAATGCGCTTCATTTTCAACATAATTAAATTTTAAACTGTTGCAGCGGACACAATCCTTGTTCTTCATACATCCGTGTTAGCTACAGCAGATCTGGTATTTTATTGTAGAACGAGTTTACAGTCGATGTGCTTAAAATACGGTTTCAAAGTGCGTCATACGACACCTTAGTAAAACTTTTAAAAGGTTTAATGGAAGACACGTGAAAACATTTTAAAATTTGACGCACCAGTGACAAAATTATGTCTGACATAATTCTCTATTTATACTTGTATCATACATGTATGTCCCCGTGTTTATTGTTCAAGATATAGCCGGAATTGAACAATATCCTTTTGGCAGAGATTCCTATGAACATGGAACGGGTTTTTAACAATTTTATTTTGAGGTGAACAAGTGACTTGCATGTGTTTTCGTGTGTTTGTGACGGATGCCATAGGTGGCGAAGGGTACGCTTACCTTTTCGCGAACACCTGGTATCATTGCTATTTGATAGTGATAATCATAAGAAATATCTACTTAAAGCAGAGTCAGTTGTACCATTGTGACTGTGTCATGAACATGTGTTTATGAATCACTGTCAAATAGCGATAATACCAGGTGTTCGTGAAAAGGTTATATTTCTTTCTTTCTTGAAAATAAAGATTATCAAATATATTTGTTTTGAATGACATGCATGTTTACTCTTTATTTGTCTACAGAAACAAATTACTTTAGCTTTTCAGATTTCTTGATTCCTATTATCACTTATATTTCCTTATGTGTGTTATCACTGAATTTCTGATTTTTGTGATTGAATATTGTTTTACACTGCTGGGAACTTACTTTATTATAAGTCGTTGCAATAAAACATAATACGTCAACGCCATAGAATATCCAGTCTATTCGACGAAGCAGATTCCAATGGGCGTAAAGGCGAGATAGTGGTGAATATAATATGAATTGATAACTGAAAATCAGCTCAAGGGAAAGCATGTCATGCCTCAAGAAACGCTTCCAAATGCCATTGTCTCGATATGTTAAAGGGACTATTTAGTTGTATAGGAAATAAATGCTAAATCATCTGTTGGTAGTTTTCAGTGATATAGGGTTTCAGTAGATACTTATCGTGACTGAACTGTGGCCATGTTGTATAGGCGTGTCCTTGACGTTTCAGACAATAAAACACTGGATATATAAATTTGTGTTATCCCCTAATCAACTTCATTGATCATATGGAACAATATAATCGATTATAACGTTCGTGCATCAGAAAGACAAGCCCCTGGTAATTCAGATAATCAACTTATCATTGATCGAAAAAATATTACTATTGTGGAAGGCCTAATGCCGAAACTGGATACTTGTGGGAGAAGTTCTCTCTTAATACATTGATAAGTACATACACAGTTACTGGAAATACGAATTCTTTATGCTGAGGAAATGACTATAATTATCAACGGTCCTTCATTTGCGAATAACTACCTTAAAAGCAGTGTTATGTTTGTGAGGAGTATTGAATGTACTGGTGACTGTGTAAGAGTGGTATTGTAACCAGTTTCTGACGACGGCATATGTGAACGGAACACCACCGGCATAGGACATGAATTAATATTTAATGAAAAATACATATCACTAGCTAAAAGCTCTTATCGATGTGGATATGAGACAAGTCAGACATATTTGGCTCTTTGGCATTACTCAGTTCGGAGATGAGACAAGCTAGACAGGTTTGGCTTTATGGCATTACTCAATACGGAGATGAGACAAGCCAGACATGTTTGGCTTTATGGCATTACTCAATTCGGAGATGAGGCAAGCTAGACATGTTTGGCTTTATGGCATTACTCAATACGGAGATGAGGCAAGTCAGACATGTTTGGCTTTATGGCATAACTCAATTCGGAGATGAGGCAGGTCAAACATATGTAGCTTATGGCATTACTCAATTCGGAGATGAGGCAAACCAGACATGTTTGGCTTTATGGCATTACTTAATTCGGAGATGAGGCAAGCCAGACATGTTTGGTCTTATGGCATTACTCAATACGGAGATGAGGCAAGTCAGACATGTTTGGCTTTATGGCATTACTCAATTCGGAGTTGAGGCAAGCTAGACATGTTTGGCTTTATGGCATTACTCAATACGGAGATGAGGCAAGTCAGACATGTTTGGCTTTATGGCATAACTCAATTCGGAGATGAGGCAGGTCAAACATATGTAGCTTATGGCATTACTCAATTCGGAGATGAGGCAAGCCAGACATGTTTGGCCTTATGGCATTACTCAATACGGAGATGAGGCAAGTCAGACATGTTTGGCTTTATGGCATTA